AAAACAAAAAACAAAGCCCTCTGATTTGGAATCAAATCACCTTTCTGACCTGGAGAGGAGAGAGAGAGTATACCATCAAGTCAGGCAATGGGGGAGAATTCCAGGCAAGGGGAGGGGTCCTGGTGACAGAGGCAGAGGGCAGGCGTGGAAAATGAGCTAAGAGTTGCTGCTCCGAACCCACTAAGTAGAAACACACGCACTGCTTTGTGATAATGGAAAGGCAAGCTTTACTAGCTGACGGGTCACAGCATATTTTGCTTGAAGGAACCTTTGAGAAACAAGATGTGCCTTCTCACATGACAGAGGAGAAAACCTAGGCTCAGAGAAATGGAGTGACTTGGCCAGGAGTTCAGGCCAGCATCTGCACCTAACCACTCCTAACCCAGGCCAGTGTTCATTTGTTTTTTCTACAAAGAATACCCCCTGCCCTGCCCCCAGGCCCTGGGACTGCAGCACCAAAAATTGCCATGATCCCTTTCAGGTTTGAGATTTGGGGGAATCTTAATCACTTATGGTCTTATTCTGACTTCCTCTTAGTGTAAAATAGCATCAAAGACAAGGTCCTTCTCCAATCTCTGCTTTCTCCTTCGGAAAGCTATGCCCATCATTGTGCGAGGCAGAGTCCTGCTTCGACAGAGTTAGTATGAAAGACTTAATTCTTATGGCCAAGGTCAGGCTTAGAAAGGGGTTCCATTATATGAAGTATGCTTATCCGAACACTGAACCCAAGATGAGCCTAACAAAATTAAAATCAGACCACAAAACTTCCCCTTACAAAGCATCTGCCCCTATGGTAAAAGTCACACTGCTGAGCCCCTCAACTCGGCTAAAGAGAAGACAAAAAAAAAAAAAAAAAAAGTGAAAAAGAAGCTTATTTCTTTTAGAAGTCCTGGCATCAGCAACCTTTGATCTCTGTGCTGGTTTCCTTCCCAGGGTCAAGTAAACCTGGCAGAGGGCCAGGGTAGGGAACTAGCCCTCAAGGGATACGATCATTTTTGGGGGCGAGGACGAATCCAAAGGGTGACCAGGAGGGCAAGGTGTGGGTGATCTACGGGAGAGTCTGAGAAACGGAGACCAAAAAGCTGCTGAATTTGAAATCAGGATTCACATGTGGTTAGAGTGCGGTAGATGTTTCATACATATACAAGATATGGACTAAAATTACTGTAATTCTTCAGGAGAGCAGCTCTCAAACAAAAATCCTCCCCTTACAGAATAAGCCATGGAAAATGAGAGGCTGCTAGGTAGGCTGTCATTCCCAGCAAACGTACTGGTGTTTGTGCCGTAAGTTAGTTTGGCTACCAATAACCAATGTTTGTGATGTATTTCTGAGAGATTTTCTGACCATTCCTTAGTAAGGAAGATTATTTCTTAGTAGGAGGCAACTCCAGAAAGTCCATACAGGACAGCCTGGAGAGGGGAGGGGCCACCGCGGCGTCAGAGGGGCCTCTGAAATGTGCCTTGAACCTACGTAGTTGCCTAGCGAGTTGCTTAAGCTCCTTTGGGACAATCTGCAAAGGGGTGGAGGGGACTAGGGCTGCTGGAGACAAGTTCCATCACCGACAGCACTGACAATGACCTCGGGGATCAAGAGCTGGCATTCCAGAGACGGGTAGACCTGAGTCTGAAGCCTGGCTTTGCCAGATAGCAGGTCCGCAATTTCAAATACATTATTCAAGCTCTCTGGCCCCCACTGTTCTTTGTAAAGTAGGGTTTCTAACAGTGCCTACTTCATCAGGTTGTTTTGAGAAATGAGATCATACATGCAAAGAGCTTGCTTAGCACAAGGCTTGGCGCATAGTAATTGCTTAATAAACTTTAGCTGAAAAGAGGCAAGAGGAGTGTGCAGGCTGTGAATCTTATAAAACTTTGCTTAAACCCAAAGAAGGGAGGATGTGTTTCTTCAAAGCACATTTGTCATGAGTGTGTGGGAGAGAAAGATCAAGAATCACCGATACCGCAGGAATCCTCGGTAATAAACAATCACCTGGGGAATCCCTAAAGAGTCTTGTCCTCCCACTGGACCACAGCAGCTTAAGAAAAAAGGAATCTAGTTGGTATGTTCTGTACGCCGTTCAATGCGCAAGAGGCAGGTGGGAGGCATGGAATATGGCCAGCCTTAACGCTCTTGGCCTAGAATTTAGAATTAATCTGGACAAGGCCATTGGTAAAAGGAGCTGCTTTCATTGTAGAAGGCCAGCACCTTATCCATTAGGTCACTGGGGTTTCACGTAGCTACCTTCATTTTAAAGCAAAGCATTTCTGTGGCAACGTAAACATGCCCAAAGCCTGTTTGGGGACACCCACACACTTGCTGCCAGGGGCATTCATGAAGCACGTTTGTTCCACACACAACTTAGGAGCTGTCGTGATCTCATCATACTTATTACACCTTCATATTCCTCGATGGTACAAACGCTTCAACCCTTCTCAATGCAGCTCTTTCCCTCTCTCAACACCACTTTCCCTCTAACACCACACATCACAGATAAAGGCCCAGGAAACGCTTTAAAAAAGGAGCAAAAGTCTAAAAGCGTAATTTACTGTGAGACGTATCATGGGAAGAGAAGAATAATCAGATGGGAAGAAATTCCATCACTTGCGCTCATTCTCAATGTATTAGATTGAGCCATATGTGGGGATTGTTTTTAAATGTTTCTGACTTAGAAAAAGACAAACTCATGTGCAATCAAAGAGCTCGGCCAGTGGCCAGACACAGGGGTGCCATGTCAGAGATGCCTGGAAGAGGCACAGTAAGTGCAATGAGAACAAGTTCAAGCAACACAAATTCTAGGATTATTCAAGCTCCACTCCCTGACTTTCTTTTTACTTTCTCCCCACTCGGCTCTCTTATCCTCCTTCCCCATCTCCTTAAAGATAACTGGCGAGCTGCTTCTAGACAGGAAGCTCTGGGTTATACTTTAAAAGGGACACGATATTTGAAATAGGTCATAAACCAACAACAGTAATAACATACAAGTTACATGTAAGTACAGGACGGCGCTGTCAGAGCCCAGACTGTTGTCCACCTGCACGGTCACTCGGAAAATGCCCACGTTGTGATAGACGTGCTTGATCCCATCTTCCATGGAGCTGAGGTTGACGTAAGACACTGCAATGCCATCACCAAAGTCCACTTGGATGAGTGTCCTCTGGACATCACCCTGAAAAACAGCCCAACATCAGAGAAGAGGAGTCGGTGCTTGCCGCTTCTGCCCCAGGGGCTGGGTCTTGTCCCCGCCCCTGGGCCCCTGGCTCAGGGCTAATGGCAGACTCTGGCTCCCTCCTGCAGCTGGGAGCATCTGTCTGCATTCGACAGAATCCCTGTGACATTCCCTGGCAGACAGGAGCTTACCAAGATGGATGTTCTCCAAATCTGAAGGGCACCCACCACCAAAAGTTTCAAGGTTTGGAAAACTAAGTCTTTGATAATCCGTTCCAATTGGATATTCAATTTCTCTGAGGGATCTGTTTACACTCTTATCGTCCCCATGAATAAAAGGTGTACACACACAGCTTTTTAAAGATTCAGCCTACCTGACATGGTTACAGACCTCTTCCCTTGTGTCCAGGACCCTGGAATCCTCTTCTTATTCCTGGTTCCCTAACCATGTTAGAGGAAGGATAAAAGACACCTTGCCTCACACCTGATAGGACATTGGGCTCAGTACTATTATTATTTAAGATAATGATGGTTAATTCTTTTATACTCAGTATTTTGTGCTATAAAAAATGATAATATTTTATTCTTCACAGAATCTTAGCTGGGAGAGAAAAACAGGCCACATTTGTCCATTTTACTGGTAGGGAAGCTGAAGTCAGGAAAGACTTAATTATCTGTTCAAGGTTAACACAGCTAGTTAGGGGCAGACCTAGGATTTGAACCCATCTCTGTGGAATTACATTTCATTCATTATAGGTGGATAAAGCACAGATGGTTCCTCCGGGCTTGAGTCCCAGGGTGCCATTAGCAAGCTGCATGACTTCATGCAAGTCATTCAGCCTCCTTGGGCTTCGGTTACCTCATCTATGAAACGGGCATCATAATACGTTACTGTCTTCACTCAAGGGGTTGTTATAAGACTTGTGAGTTAATTAATCCTCTGTAAAAATTTGGACCAAATCAATGACTGTCAAAACCATGCAGCTGTGAAGGGCGTGCAATCCCCCTTTTACAGCTGGATTGGAATCATACAAATCTAAATTTCCCAGTGGGAGGTAAGAAGAGGGAGGATAAAAGTCTGCTTTCTAAAATTCCAGACCTGTAAGAAAACTGTTTTGGAATAACAGTAGAGATTCTTAAGGAACAAAGTTTCTTAGACCCAACTGACAAAAACCAGCCTCTTTCCCATGCAGCCTATCCTTTATCAAGTTTTTCTTGTTTGTTTTGTTAGTTTTTCCCATTTTCAAGGAAAAAAAAAAAACTAAAAAAAAAAAAAAAACCCAGAAACCACACACACACACAAACTCTTTGAACTAAAAAAAAAGTATTTTCGATTAAGTAAGGTTCATATGGTACCATATTTTTTGAAAAGGCCAAGTTTAAAATGCTGACATTTAAAAGATTAATTCACAGGGAAAGGAAAAGCAGTTCAAATTCTATGAATCTCTAAGACCTACTCTTCTGATCTATGCCCGGCCAAGCATCGTGTGGGGGGCACACAGCAGGGCAGCTAACTCTCAGGAAGGACATGAGCAAGGATTCTCCCCTCGGGAGGGAGAAAGAAACTCCACCCGGAACTACAAGACAAATTATCCACAAGCCCAGACACTGTGCAATTATTTGAATTCCCTTCGCTGATAAATATAAATGTCAACGATTCTTGCTGACTTGTCCTTCATTTGCACAAATCAGACTGGTCAATTTCTCGGTGCTGTTTCTAGTCAGTTCTCCCATGTTTTCTGGATTTTCAACACAGGTGCTGCCAGCCAATCTTAGGTATGTGCACAGAGGAAGAAACTGCCTTAAAATCTACTCACATCGTTTGGGACAAGTGTCTGAGGGAATTATCCGGAGTAGTTAGGGTTAACTGGGTTGGCCATGAAATAAAACAAGCAATAGAATTTCTGAGAAAGAGAGGGAGGGAGAGATTGAAGATGGAAGGAGAAAGAGGGAGAGAGGGAAAGAGGGGAGGGAGGAAGAGAGAAAGTGAGGAGAGCGGGAGAGAGGGAGGGAGGGGCATTGAGATTGAGAGACTGAGAAAGAGAGGTTTAGGGTTCTTTGTGGAGACAGAGTGGGCATCAGGTAAGGGTCACCACTGGCAAGAGCACAGAGGGGAGACTCACATCTCAGCTGATTCTACCTCACCCCCATAAGTTACAGCATCTACCCACACACCTGAGAAAAGTCCAACTTGGGCCGCCCTTGCTTGAGTCTCCCAGCCTCGCCCTTTCTGTCTGGTATTCACCACTGTGCTTTTGTGGGCCTGGACTTGGACCTCTTTCAGTGACTTAAAACTCCTCTCAAGTTCTGTCTGGATGTCCACTGTCTTTCATGCTGGTCTTTTGGCCTGAAAGTATTCCTCATTATCCGCTCACGACAATGTTCCCCACATATGTAACAGGTGAAAGAAGGGAGCCACAGTGTTGGGACGGCTGTATCAGTAGGGCTGCCTTCACAGAGGAGTCATGCTTTTAGGGTACTCGGTCAGGTATTAGGAAGATCTCTCTAGCTCTCGCTCTTGCTCTCCCTGGTGTGAGTGCAGGCCCCTGGGCTTGGTCCTCTGTACCAGGAGACAGGGGTACCAAGAGGCAAAGGCAGCAGATTTCATCCCTGCTGTTGGAGCTGTGCCCACTCAAGTGGAACATACTAAATGCCATGCTTTTGCCTTCAGAGGCTCTCAGGTGCTTCATAAGCCTAACACAGCTGTCAATGCATCGCTTTGGGGCTCATCAGTCATCAGCCTCTGCCTTCCTTGGGCTGAGATGGGGATGCCAAAACTCCTTTCAAAGAATAAGAAACAGGGCAAAGGCAAGGGAGCCTAAGTCCTAGATCACCATGATTAGGCACACTTGCCCTGCTTTAACTGGCTTTCTGGTCATTCATTCATTCATTCATTCAACCAACCAACCAACTGGCAGATATTTATTGTCTATCTTGTGTCAGGCATGACATGGGAAAATGATGATAAGTAAATTATAACAAACCAAGCAAAACAGATGTGGTCTGGGCTTTCATGAGCATACGGACTACTAAGTGAGACAGATGAAATAATCCCAGATAAATAAAAAGTTTTACAGGGGATGTTATGAAAGAAAGTCCACGGTATTCTAAGTTGTAGAGTAGGGAGAGGTAGAGAGCTAAAAATCTGATCTGATTGAGAACTTCAAGGAAAGCTTCCCAGAAGAAGTTATATCTGAGCTGAGATGACCTTAAGGAAAGAACTGGGGTACCTGGGTGGCTCAGTTGTTCAGTGTCTGCCTTCGGCTCAGGTCATGATCCCAGGGTCCTGGGATGGAGTCCTGCATCTGGCTCCCTGCTTAGCAGGAAGCCTGCTTCTCCCTCTCCCACTCCCCCTGCTTGTGTTCCCTCTCTCGCTGTGTCTCACTCTGTCAAATAAATAAAATCTTAAAAAAAAAAAAAAAAGAACCAAACAAAGGACACGAGTGAGTGAGATGGAGGTAAGGAGTCCAGGCAATGGTGACAGAGGGAATCAGCTGTGCAAGGGCCCCGTGGCAGTGGGGAATGGTACAGTAATAGGAAGATGAAGATAAAGACACAGTATGGATCAGAGGAGCAAGATGGTGGAGGAGTAGGAGACCTGGATTTCATCTGGTCCCAGGAATTCAGCTGGATAGGGATCAAACCATTCTGAACACCTACAAACTCAACAGGAGATCGAAGAAAAGAATAGCAACAACTCTCTGAACAGAAAAGTGACCACTTTCTGGAAGTCATATTCCATCCCTTCATCATATCAACCCTTATTTTTGTACATATATAAGTTTTTCTTTCTTTAAAATTTTGGAGGCACTTTCTTCTAACAGACCAAAATATATCCAAAATCTAGTGTGTGGCACTGATCTATGCACCAGCCTGATCATATTTGATCACATTCTATTTTTTTTGTTTTGTTTTTATTTGTTTTTATCTTTTTCTCTTTTTTTTCCTCTTTTCTTTCTTTCCCTCTCTTTTCCCCAGGTTTCAGGTCTTTTCTGATTTGTTTAGTGTATATTTTCTGAGGACATTGTTACCCTGTTAGTATTTTGTTCTCTCATTCATCTATTCTCCTCTGGACAAAATGACAAGACGGAAAAAATCACCTCAACAAAAAGAACAAGAGGCAGTACCAACTTCCAGGGACCTAATCAATAGGGACATCAGTAAGATGTCGGAACTAGAGTTCAGAATCATGATTTTAAAGATATTACCTGGGGGCGCCTGGGTGGCTCAGTTGGTTAAGCGACTGCCTTCGGCTCAGGTCATGATCCTGGAGTCCTAGGATCGAGTCCCGCATCGGGCTCCCTGCTCGGCGGGGAGCCTGCTTCTCCCTCTG